GCCCTCACTGCATAGGGCAGCCCTCACTGCATAGGGCAGTCCTCACTGCATAGGGCAGCCCAGCCTTGCATAGGGCAGTCCTCACTGCATAGGGCAGTCTTCACTGCATAGGGCAGTCCTCACCGCATAGGGCAGTCCTCACTGCATAGGGCAGCCCAGCCTTGCATAGGGCAGTCCTCACTGCATAGGGCAGTCCTCACTGCATAGGGCAGTCCTCACCGCATAGGGCAGTCCTCACCGCATAGGGCAGTCCTCACCGCATAGGGCAGTCCTCACCGCATAGGGCAGTCCTCACTGCATAGGGCAGTCCTCACTGCATAGGGCAGTCCTCACTGCATAGGGCAGTCCTCACTGCATAGGGCAGCCCTCACTGCATAGGGCAGCCCTCACTGCATAGGGCAGTCCTCACTGCATAGGGCAGTCCTCACTGCATAGGGCTGTCCTCACTGCATAGGGCAGCCCAGCCTTGCATAGGGCAGTCCTCACTGCATAGGGCAGTCCTCACTGCATAGGGCAGTCCTCACTGCATAGGGCAGTCCTCACCGCATAGGGCAGTCCTCACCGCATAGGGCAGTCCTCACCGCATAGGGCAGTCCTCACTGCATAGGGCAGTCCTCACTGCATAGGGCTGTCCTCACTGCATAGGGCAGCCCAGCCTTGCATAGGGCAGTCCTCACTGCATAGGGCAGTCCTCACTGCATAGGGCAGTCCTCACTGCATAGGGCAGTCCTCACCGCATAGGGCAGTCCTCACCGCATGGGGCAGTCCTCACCGCATGGGGCAGTCCTCACCGCATAGGGCAGTCCTCACCGCATAGGGCAGTCCTCACTGCATAGGGCAGTCCTCACCGCATAGGGCAGTCCTCACCGCATAGGGTAGTCCTCACCGCATAGGGCAGTCCTCACCGCATAGGGCAGTCCTCACCGCATAGGGCAGTCCTCACCGCATAGGGCAGCCCTCACTGCATAGGGCAGTCCTCACTGCATAGGGCAGTCCTCACTGCATAGGGCAGTCCTCACTGCATAGGGCAGTCCTCACCGCATAGGGCAGTCCTCACCGCATAGGGCAGTCCTCACTGCATAGGGCAGTCCTCACCGCATAGGGCAGTCCTCACTGCATAGGGCAGCCCTCACCGCATAGGGCAGTCCTCACCGCATAGGGCAGTCCTCACCGCATAGGGCAGTCCTCACCGCATAGGGCAGTCCTCACTGCATAGGGCAGTCCTCACTGCATAGGGCAGCCCTCACTGCATAGGGCAGCCCTCACCGCATAGGGCAGTCCTCACCGCATAGGGCAGTCCTCACCGCATAGGGCAGTCCTCACTGCATAGGGCAGCCCTCACTGCATAGGGCAGCCCTCACTGCATAGGGCAGTCCTCACTGCATAGGGCAGCCCAGCATAGGGCAGCCCTCACTGCATAGGGCAGCCCTCACTGCATAGGGCAGTCCTCACTGCATAGGGCAGTCCTCACTGCATAGGGCAGTCCTCACTGCATAGGGCAGCCCAGCCTTGCATAGGGCAGTCCTCACTGCATAGGGCAGTCCTCACCGCATAGGGCAGTCCTCACCGCATAGGGCAGTCCTCACCGCATAGGGCAGTCCTCACCGCATAGGGCAGTCCTCACCGCATAGGGCAGTCCTCACCGCATAGGGCAGTCCTCACCGCATAGGGCAGTCCTCACCGCATAGGGCAGTCCTCACTGCATAGGGCAGCCCTCACTGCATAGGGCAGTCCTCACCGCATAGGGCAGTCCTCACCGCATAGGGCAGCCCTCACTGCATAGGGCAGTCCTCACTGCATAGGGCAGTCCTCACTGCATAGGGCAGCCCAGCCTTGCATAGGGCAGTCCTCACTGCATAGGGCAGTCCTCACTGCATAGGGCAGCCCAGCCTTGCATAGGGCAGTCCTCACTGCATAGGGCAGTCCTCACTGCATAGGGCAGCCCAGCCTTGCATAGGGCAGTCCTCACTGCATAGGGCAGTCCTCACTGCATAGGGCAGCCCAGCCTTGCATAGGGCAGTCCTCACTGCATAGGGCAGTCCTCACTGCATAGGGCAGCCCAGCCTTGCATAGGGCAGTCCTCACTGCATAGGGCAGTCCTCACTGCATAGGGCAGCCCAGCCTTGCATAGGGCAGTCCTCACTGCATAGGGCAGTCCTCACCGCATAGGGCGGTCCTCACTGCATAGGGCAGTCCTCACCGCATAGGGCAGTCCTCACCGCATAGGGCAGTCCTCACCGCATAGGGCAGTCCTCACCGCATAGGGCAGTCCTCACCGCATAGGGCAGTCCTCACTGCATAGGGCAGTCCTCACCGCATAGGGCAGCCCTCACTGCATAGGGCAGTCCTCACTGCATAGGGCAGCCCTCACTGCATAGGGCAGTCCTCACCGCATAGGGCAGTCCTCACCGCATAGGGCAGTCCTCACCACATAGGGCAGCCCTCACTGCATAGGGCAGTCCTCACTGCATAGGGCAGTCCTCACTGCATAGGGCAGCCCAGCCTTGCATAGGGCAGTCCTCACTGCATAGGGTAGTCCCCACTGCATAGGGCAGCCCAGCCTTGCATAGGGCAGTCCTCACTGCATAGGGCAGTCCTCACTGCATAGGGCAGCCCAGCCTTGCATAGGGCAGTCCTCACTGCATAGGGCAGTCCTCACTGCATAGGGCAGCCCAGCCTTGCATAGGGCAGTCCTCACTGCATAGGGCAGTCCTCACTGCATAGGGCAGTCCTCACTGCATAGGGCAGCCCAGCCTTGCATAGGGCAGTCCTCACTGCATAGGGCAGTCCCCACTGCATAGGGCAGCCCAGCCTTGCATAGGGCAGTCCTCACTGCATAGGGCAGTCCTCACTGCATAGGGCAGCCCAGCCTTGCATAGGGCAGTCCTCACTGCATAGGGCAGTCCTCACTGCATAGGGCAGCCCAGCCTTGCATAGGGCAGTCCTCACTGCATAGGGCAGTCCTCACTGCATAGGGCAGCCCAGCCTTGCATAGGGCAGTCCTCACTGCATAGGGCAGTCCTCCATACCCATGCTTGGCTCTGCTCTGTATCTGTATGTCTCTGTCAGGGTGCACCTCTTCATCTGACTCTCAATCTGAGCCCATCTGTAGAAGGTGAATGTTCTTCCTTGGTGGTCCATCTTGAGAAGTCAGCAGAGACCTTCTGGGTGAATGTTCATGAAGCATGCCTCCAGGTGAGGTCCACCCCTCTTCCCTTTCACTCTTGGGCAGACTCTTCAAGTCTTAAAAACATGGATCCAGAGCGCTTGCAAGCTTGAGCCATGAATTGTTAGTATTTTCTTGGCGGGAGGCAAGGTCTTCCATGAAGATTGTATTAGAGCTCACTATTGCTCTCTAGGAGCACCTCTGGACCGGCCTGGTATGGATATCTAACCAGAACCTAAACATCATCAGGATGGTGAACAGTTTGTGCCTTCAAGTCGTTGCCCATAGGAAGGAATATCTTCAGAACGGCTCCAAATGACACTAAACTCATATGGGAGAGTAGAACATGATGGAATAACGGAAAATCAAGGACCAATGGAAAAAAGAACAGCATTCCCTTTAAACCAGCAGGTTAGGACAGCAGGTCAACCTCCCCAAGATGGCGGACCTAATTCAGTGCGGGGTCTACTCTTATAGGTGTGTCTATGGTTCTCAGTGGTTAAAAAACAGGTGGTCGTTCTTCAGCAGCTGTATGTTCCCAGACTCCTCTGGGTGGAGGGTCAGTGGAAGGAAGCAGAGGAAAAACCGCTTCTAAAAATTAACCAGCAGGGGGCGCGATTATGGCGATCAATGGAAAAACACCTGATTCATAAAAATAGAAAATACACAAAAAAATAAATCCTTTTGTGTTTTAACAGATCTTCTCTGAGGAGCCATGGAGAACATTTATGCTCCACCTCAGCTCCTCCTCCAGGAGACGCTTTCCATCCTGATGATGTTTGGGTTCTGGTTGGTTGTCTGTACCAGGCCGGTCCAGAGGGCAGCTGTCCTGCAGGTTTCCTGCTCCGGCACATCTGGTTTTCATTGGTAGCTGATTAACAGGCTGTTGCTGAACTTCAGTCATCAGAATCATACAAACCTGTAAAACCTGCAGGAAGCAGCCCTGGAAGCAGGGGAGGAGTTAAGAAATCTAGGGCCCTAGGCAAAGACAGGCAGGGGGCCCTCTGAATGGAGACGACATAGAACAGCCCCATTCTCCAGATAGAGAAATGTTAATAGAATAGACATCCATTATCTGTTCTAGGTTGTGTCCCTCTCTTCTTGTCCCTTTTCTTCTTGTTTTCCTCTCTATGTTTTGTACTCAGCTGACTTTTCATGCTGTCTCTAAAGGAATGAAAGATTTTTTCCAAGCACTAAGCTCACTTAGCTGATTGCTCCTTCCTGTGTTTCCAAAAAGGCCAAAGTAAATAACCCAGTCCTTCTTTTCACTGTAGACAAGCCATGATCTGCTTATCTGTTCTCCATTTTTCATTTGGATGAAATAATAGCTGCATGAATCATGACAGCAGACAAGATAGAGGAGAGCAGGAGGCGGGGTTACCAATCTACTCGCTCTGGAGAGCAGAGTTCGCTGCTTTTAGATGTTGTCTCCAAAGTCTCCAGTAGCAGAAAAAAGTCTCTAGATTTGGCGCTAGGAGCTTTTTAGAAATCAAAGTGCTAGAGGGGTCTGAAAAGTGGCTAAATATAGCGACTAAAGCGCTAAGTTGGCAACACTGCTCTTTGCATGGTTTGTTTTCAAATGGTTTGCTGCTGTCTGTTTGGACCTTTATGTGCAGCAAATGGACTGATCCAATATGGTGGACACTGAAGGGGGGGGGCTGAGACACACTTAATATTATCAGCGTTCTGATGGCATTTTAGCAAAAGGATTTTGATCAAAAACATAATTAATTGGGGCCCTAGGCACCTGCCTAGTATTGCCTGATGGTAAATCCCTCCCTGGATGGAAGAGCGACTCAGGACAGGCCTAATCTAGACAGAAGCTGCAGACACAGAGGTTTCACTCAGTCTTTATTGTTGGAGTTCTCAGGCTGCAAATGAACGACTGCATGGATGATCTGAGCTGGAAACAGGCGGTAAATAGTCAGAGCGGTCTGGCCGACCAGATGATCCACATTCAGCTTCCTGAAGCAGTAGATCCATCAGGCTCTGCCGTGGGCGGAGCTACAGGCCTTCCTGTGGGCGGGGCTACCATCCAGTCTGTTACTGCTTTAAGTGTTGCTTCCGTTCACCTCTGACCTCTGGCCCCCCCTCTGCTCTTTCTAAGAACTCGGGCAGCGACCTGTCGTAGTCCATGATGCTGAGCTCGTCTCTGCGCTGGCGGACGGCGGGGGCCAAGTCTGCGGGGACCACAGCAGGAAGGGGGGACTCCACCTGAGGACTCCCAGTGAGCAGGGTGGCCTCCTCCACCTCCTGACCCAGTGGAGGACTTTCTGGTTGGGCCTCCTCCTCCTCCTCCTCTGGGTTCTGGTTGTTCGGCCCGAACAGCCGGCGGGCCTGCTGCTCCAGGAAGGATCCGACGGCCAGCGGGGAGTCAAAGGGGGAGATGGAGAGGGGGGAGGAGGAAGGGAGGGCCTCCATGGCACCGTTGATAATTCCCACAGCAGAAGAAGAGGGGGGGCGGGACTTGTTGGCGTCCAGAGCGATGGGTGAGGAAGCGGCATCTCTGACTGGCCTAAGAGAGATGGAGCGGAAACGGATCTGTTAACCGGAGGAACCGGGCTTCATGCAGGTGTAACCCGGGTGTAAATCCCAGTGATTTTCCATTTACATGTTTGGATAATGGAGAAAGATTCCAGTGATCATTCTGTGTGTTTTTTTTTCACTTCCATCCCCTCATTGCTACACAGCCAATTGCTGTTAAGTATCAGGGTCACATGTGCAACAGCCTATCAGTTAGGTATATTAGTTGGAGTGGGGAAGTATGAAAGACTATGGCATGTTGGGAGAAGCAGAGCTGCAGGAGCTAACTACTTAACCGAGATTAAATGAAAAACCCCTGTTTGTGTTACATACAAACTATGGAATTGGTGAGTGTTTCTCCTGTGTGGATTAATTTTAGCTCATTATGTCTTTGTTTGTTGTCTAGCTGCTAATTTGCTGATTATACAAACAGATGCCCAGACTAGCTTTGAAGAACCCTATGTGGACAATGAGGTGCCTTAAATATTTATTGAGCACTTGTTTGTATTAGTTGTTTTTACATTTCATGTTGACTAATTTATATAGTGCATATTTATTGGATTTTTCATGAATGTAATTTATATGGAACTTTATATTTATTTAACAAAGACTTTGGATCTCCTGCCAGGCTGGTAGGAGGCTCCTTGCAGCCAACGAACAATTTTGTTTCCAGTCTGCTCTGACTTTTGTCAGTCTATGACCTGCACTGTACCAAGCACTTTAAAAGGAATTTGCTTGGGACCTTTAATCAACCCCAGCTTGGGGTGAATGGACTGAAGGGATGTGGTTTCATTAATTGTGGAATTGATTAATTTTGTTCTTCTTTTTCCTCTTTATTGTTTTGTTTTCTTTCTTTTTTCTGCGCATTTTATATGGCCATTCGGATGATTCAATGATGTTGTAAATATGTATAAAATTTTCCTCACTATAAATACAAAGCACTCGCAACTGCAAACTTCTAGTCTCTGTCTGCTGTTTCATGAGTCGTACCTATATTCTGAGAACTCGCCTATTGAACTTATGTGTTATGATCCATTTGCATTAATTTAAAATATAGTATACTGTTTTTTACAGATATGCTACACAGGGTTCTGCTGTGGGAGGAGAACCATGATGGTTCTGGTTCTGCTTACAGTGCAGAACTGTTTCTAGCGGCCAATCACAGCGCAGGAATGTTTCTAACGGCCAATCACAGCGCAGGAATGTTTCTAACGGCCAATCACAGCGCAGAAATGTTTCTAACAGCCAATCGCAGCGCAGAAATGTTTCTAACGGCCAATCACAGGGCAGAAATGTTTCTAACGGCCAATCACAGCGCAGAACTGTTTCTAGCGGCCAATCACAGCGCAGGAATGTTTCTAACGGCCAATCACAGCGCAGGAATGTTTCTAACGGCCAATCACAGCGCAGAAATGTTTCTAACAGCCAATCGCAGCGCAGAAATGTTTCTAACGGCCAATCACAGCGCAGAAATGTTTCTAACGGCCAATCGCAGCGCAGAAATGTTTCTAACGGCCAATCACAGCGCAGAAATGTTTCTAACGGCCAATCACAGGGCAGAAATGTTTCTAACGGCCAATCACAGGGCAGAAATGTTTCTAGCGGCCAATCACAGGGCAGAAATGTTTCTAACGGCCAATCACAGCGCAGAACTGTTTCTAACGGCCAATCACAGGGCAGAAATGTTTCTAACGGCCAATCACAGCGCAGAACTGTTTCTAGCGGCCAATCACAGCGCAGGAATGTTTCTAACGGCCAATCACAGCGCAGGAATGTTTCTAACGGCCAATCACAGCGCAGGAATGTTTCTAACGGCCAATCACAGCGCAGAAATGTTTCTAACAGCCAATCGCAGCGCAGAACTGTTTCTAACGGCCAATCACAGGGCAGAAATGTTTCTAACGGCCAATCACAGGGCAGGAATGTTTCTAGCGGCAAATCACAGCGCAGGAATGTTTCTAACGGCCAATCACAGCGCAGAAATGTTTCTAACGGCCAATCACAGCGCAGAAATGTTTCTAACGGCCAATCACAGCGCAGAAATGTTTCTAACGGCCAATCACAGGGCAGGAATGTTTCTAACGGCCAATCACAGCGCAGAAATGTTTCTAACGGCCAATCACAGGGCAGAAATGTTTCTAACGGCCAATCACAGCGCAGAACTGTTTCTAACGGCCAATCACAGGGCAGGAATGTTTCTAGCGGCCAATCACAGCGCAGGAATGTTTCTAGCGGCCAATCACAGGGCAGGAATGTTTCTAGCGGCAAATCACAGCGCAGGAATGTTTCTAACGGCCAATCACAGCGCAGAAATGTTTCTAACGGCCAATCACAGCGCAGAAATGTTTCTAACGGCCAATCACAGCGCAGAAATGTTTCTAACGGCCAATCACAGGGCAGGAATGTTTCTAACGGCCAATCACAGCGCAGAAATGTTTCTAGCGGCCAATCACAGCGCAGGAATGTTTCTAGCGGCCAATCACAGCGCAGGAATGTTTCTAGCGGCCAATCACAGCGCAGAACTGTTTCTAACGGCCAATCACAGCGCAGGAATGTTTCTAACGGCCAATCACAGGGCAGAAATGTTTCTAACGGCCAATCACAGCGCAGGAATGTTTCTAACGGCCAATCACAGCGCAGAAATTTTTCTAACGGCCAATCGCAGCGCAGGAATGTTTCTAACGGCCAATCACAGCGCAGAAATGTTTCTAACGCCAATCGCAGCGCAGAAATGTTTCTAACGGCCAATCACAGGGCAGAAATGTTTCTAACGGCCAATCACAGGGCAGAAATGTTTCTAACGGCCAATCACTGTTTCTAACGGCCAATCACAGGGCAGAAATGTTTCTAACGGCCAATCACAGGGCAGGAATGTTTCTAGCGGCCAATCACAGTGCAGGAATGTTTCTAGCGGCCAATCACAGCGCAGAAATGTTTCTAACGGCCAATCACAGCGCAGGAATGTTTCTAACGGCCAATCACAGCGCAGGAATGTTTCTAACGGCCAATCACAGCGCAGGAATGTTTCTAACGGCCAATCACAGCGCAGAACTGTTTCTAACGGCCAATGACAGCGCAGGAATGTTTCTAACGGCCAATCACAGCGCAGGAATGTTTCTAACGGCCAATCACAGCGCAGGAATGTTTCTAACGGCCAATCACAGCGCAGGAATGTTTCTAACGGCCAATCACAGGGCAGAAATGTTTCTAACGGCCAATCACAGCGCAGGAATGTTTCTAGCGGCCAATCACAGCGCAGAAATGTTTCTAACGGCCAATCACAGCGCAGAAATGTTTCTAACGGCCAATCACAGCGCAGGAATGTTTCTAGCGGCCAATCACAGCGCAGAAATGTTTCTAACGGCCAATCACAGCGCAGGAATGTTTCTAACGGCCAATCACAGCGCAGGAATGTTTCTAACGGCCAATCACAGCGCAGAAATGTTTCTAACGGCCAATCACAGCGCAGGAATGTTTCTAACGGCCAATCACAGCGCAGGAATGTTTCTAACGGCCAATCACAGCGCAGGAATGTTTCTAACGGCCAATCACAGCGCAGGAATGTTTCTAACGGCCAATCACAGCGCAGGAATGTTTCTAACGGCCAATCACAGCGCAGGAATGTTTCTAACGGCCAATCACAGCGCAGGAATGTTTCTAACGGCCAATCACAGCGCAGGAATGTTTCTAACGGCCAATCACAGCGCAGGAATGTTTCTAACGGCCAATCACAGCGCAGGAATGTTTCTAACGGCCTGCAACAGCATGAGAACCTGCAGCTGCAGGTAAAATCTGAAACCGCTGCGCACAGCCTGCGCTGTGATTGGTCGTTAGAAACATTTCTGGTCCAGAAATATTTGCAATCTTCCTGCCTCTGATCCCGACTGTTGGTTTTGGTTCTGAGGGGTTTACAGATGTTCGGACCGGCGTCTTACCTGCTGCTGACGTCCAGAGCCCGGCTGTGTGGACTCGGGTCCAGGTGGACCTGGCTGTAGAGCAGCAGCATCTCGGTCTGCAGGTTCTGGGCGCTTCTTCTCAGGGCCACGCAGCGACTCTCTGAGGCCGACAGCTCCGCCCTGAAACACAGCAGAGTCAGACCTCCGATGGGAGCAGGGCTCCGGTTCTGTCCTGGTCCCTGACCTGCTCCGGTTCTTGGTGTCCTCCAGGAGCTTCTTCTGATCCAGGATCAGCTTGTCCTTCTTAGCCAGCTGGTTCTCCAGCTCTGCTATCCTGTGATTGGCCGCTTCCAGCTTCTGTTTCTGCAGGACGTCTGAGTCCTTCAGCCTCTGGAAGTCCTTCCCCACGCAGTGCTGCAGCATGGCCTCCTCCTGAGCAGAACACGGCAGCCGTTCACCCATCAGAGTTGCAGCCTGGTTCTGGACATCTCTGATCTTACCGTCCAGCTGCGAGGTCCTCCTCCCTCCAGCTGGTTCCTCAGGGCTCGGTTGGTTTCTCTGAGCAGGAGGAGCTGCTGGTTGAGCAGGAAGATCTGCTGCTGCTGCTGCTCACTGCTGCACAGCTGCACAAACCCAACCAGACAGACACCAATCAGCTGCTTCATGGTGGGTCATCAAGTTCATCCTGCTCTGCTGCAGGATCTATAGCACCTCGGACAGCTTCACTTCCTGTTTGGGTCAACAGGACCCAGCCAATCAGAACAGTCCTCACCTTAGGGCTCAGCTGGCTCAGCTGGCGTTCGGCGTGGTTGGCCTTGTTATGGGCTCTCTGAAGCTCCGCCTCCAGGTCCTGCAGCCTGCGCTGGGATTCTGCAAGTTCACTCTGAAACAGCCAATCACAGACCACAACTGGTACTAACTGCCAATCACAGGGCAGAACTGTTTCTAACGGCCAATCACACTACAGAACTGTTTCTAACGGCCAATCGCAGCGTAGAACTGTTTCTAACGGCCAATCACAGCGTAGAACTGTTTCTAACGGCCAATCACAGGTCAGAACTGTTTCTAACGGCCAATCACACTAGAGAACTGTTTCTAACGGCCAATCACACTACAGAACTGTTTCTAACGGCCAATCGCAGCGTAGAACTGTTTCTAACGGCCAATCACAGCGTAGAACTGTTTCTAACGGCCAATCACAGGTCAGAACTGTTTCTAACGGCCAATCACACTAGAGAACTGTTTCTAACGGCCAATCACACTACAGAACTGTTTCTAACGGCCAATCGCAGCGTAGAACTGTTTCTAACGGCCAATCACAGCGTAGAACTGTTTCTAACGGCCAATCGCACTACAGAACTGTTTCTAAAGGCCAATCACACTACAGAACTGTTTCTAACGGCCAATCACACTACAGAACTGTTTCTAACGGCCAATCGCAGCGTAGAACTGTTTCTAACGGCCAATCACAGGGCTGAACTGTTTCTAACGGCCAATCGCAGCGTAGAACTGTTTCTAACGGCCAATCACAGGGCAGAACTGTTTCTAACGGCCAATCACACTACAGAACTGTTTCTAACGGCCAATCACCGAGTAGAACTGTTTCTAACGGCCAATCACACCACAGAACTGTTTCTAACGGCCAATCACACCACAGAACTGTTTCTAACGGCCAATCACAGCGTAGAACTGTTTCTAACGGCCAATCACACCACAGAACTGTTTCTAACGGCCAATCACAGCGTAGAACTGTTTCTAACGGCCAATCACAGCGTAGAACTGTTTCTAACGGTCAATCACACCACAGAACTGTTTCTAACGGCCAATCGCAGAGTAGAACTGTTTCTAACGGCCAATCACAGCGTAGAACTGTTTCTAACGGCCAATCGCAGAGTAGAACTGTTTCTAACGGCCAATCACAGGGCAGAACTGTTTCTAACGGCCAATCACACTACAGAACTGTTTCTAACGGCCAATCACCGAGTAGAACTGTTTCTAACGGCCAATCACACCACAGAACTGTTTCTAACGGCCAATCACAGGGCTGAACTGTTTCTAACGGCCAATCGCAGCGTAGAACTGTTTCTAACGGCCAATCACAGGGCAGAACTGTTTCTAACGGCCAATCACACTACAGAACTGTTTCTAACGGCCAATCACCGAGTAGAACTGTTTCTAACGGCCAATCACACCACAGAACTGTTTCTAACGGCCAATCACACCACAGAACTGTTTCTAACGGCCAATCACAGCGTAGAACTGTTTCTAACGGCCAATCACACCACAGAACTGTTTCTAACGGCCAATCACAGCGTAGAACTGTTTCTAACGGCCAATCACAGCGTAGAACTGTTTCTAACGGTCAATCACACCACAGAACTGTTTCTAACGGCCAATCGCAGAGTAGAACTGTTTCTAACGGCCAATCACAGCGTAGAACTGTTTCTAACGGCCAATCGCAGAGTAGAACTGTTTCTAACGGCCAATCACACCACAGAACTGTTTCTAACGGCCAATCACACCACAGAACTGTTTCTAACGGCCAATCGCAGAGTAGAACTGTTTCTAACGGCCAATCACAGCGTAGAACTGTTTCTAACGGCCAATCACAGCGTAGAACTGTTTCTAACGGCCAATCACAGCGTAGAACTGTTTCTAACGGCCAATCGCAGAGTAGAACTGTTTCTAACGGCCAATCACAGCGTAGAACTGTTTCTAACGGCCAATCGCAGAGTAGAACTGTTTCTAACGGCCAATCACAGCGTAGAACTGTTCCTAACGGCCAATCACAGAGTAGAACTGTTTCTAAGGGCCAATCACACCACAGAACTGTTTCTAACGGCCAATCACAGCATAGAACTGTTTCTAACGGCCAATCGCAGAGTAGAACTGTTTCTAACGGCCAATCGCAGTGCAGAACTGTTTCTAACGGCCAATCACAGAGTAGAACTGTTTTTAACGGCCAATCACAGCGTAGAACTGTTTCTAACGGCCAATCACACCACAGAACTGTTTCTAACGGCCAATCACAGCGTAGAACTGTTCCTAACGGCCAATCACAGAGTAGAACTGTTTCTAACGGCCAATCACACCACAGAACTGTTTCTAACGGCCAATCACAGCGTAGAACTGTTTCTAACGGCCAATCGCAGAGTAGAACTGTTTCTAACGGCCAATCGCAGTGCAGAACTGTTTTTAACGGCCAATCACAGCGTAGAACTGTTTCTAACGGCCAATCACAGCGTAGAACTGTTTCTAACGGCCAATCACACTACAGAACTGTTCCTAACGGCCAATCGCAGCGTAGAACTGTTTCTAACGGCCAATCGCAGCGTAGAACTGTTTCTAACGGCCAATCACACCACAGAACTGTTTCTAACGGCCAATCACAGAGTAGAACTGTTCCTAACGGCCAATCACAGAGTAGAACTGTTTCTAACGGCCAATCACACCACAGAACTGTTTTTAACGGCCAATCACAGAGTAGAACTGTTTCTAACGGCCAATCACACCACAGAACTGTTTCTAACGGCCAATCACAGCGTAGAACTGTTTCTAACGGCCAATCGCAGAGTAGAACTGTTTCTAACGGCCAATCGCAGTGCAGAACTGTTTTTAACGGCCAATCACAGCGTAGAACTGTTTCTAACGGCCAATCACACTACAGAACTGTTCCTAACGGCCAATCGCAGCGTAGAACTGTTTCTAACGGCCAATCACAGCGTAGAACTGTTTCTAACGGCCAATCGCAGCGTAGAACTGTTTCTAACGGCCAATCACACCACAGAACTGTTTCTAACGGCCAATCGCAGTGCAGAACTGTTTTTAACGGCCAATCACAGCGTAGAACTGTTTCTAACGGCCAATCACACCACAGAACTGTTTCTAACGGCCAATCGCAGAGTAGAACTGTTTCTAACGGCCAATCACAGCGCAGGCTTTGCGCAGCGGTGTCAGATTTTACCTGCAGCTGCAGGTTCTCCTGCAGCTGCTCCTGCTGTTGCAGCAGCAGCTGTTGGAGCTGAGCGTGGAGAAGCTCGGTCTGCGTCTTTGTGTCGTGCTTCAGCTCGGTGAACCGTCTTTGTTCTTCCTCCAGACTGGCCCTCAGAGCCTGGATCTCCTGGTTCTGCACGCTGAGCTGCGCCTTCTGCCACCAAACAACCAAGGAAGCGTCAGCGGAGGAAAGGGAAGACGGGCCACAATGGAGGGAAAGGCCGGGGTGATTGTTTAGAAGCAGGGCTGTTACCGTAGCAACCGTCTGCTCCTCCAGCGCTGTGGCATTGATGACGCGGCGCAGCAGACGTCGGTTCCTGACGGCGTGCTGCTGCCGTTTGAAGCGTTCGTAGAGAAGCTGGCTGTGAACCAGCAGCAGCTGACTCCTTAGGGCCTGTAGCTCCTCCCCCTGGGTGGAGCCTAACAGCACAGAGAAGAGGAAAGCATCATCTGACTTCAAACGGTTTAAATACAGGAAGAGGAGCTGAACTGCGGCGCCACGGTGAGCTGAGCGCCGCAGGAAGAGATCAGGGCTGTAGCTCCATCTAAGCTAACAGCGTTCATCCTTCTATAGACGACAGGAAGCTGATCCCTGCATGGCGCTGAGGTCCAACGCTCTGGAGATCCAGCCCATCCCATCGGTTCCGGTCATCTCCAACCAGCAGACCTGAACCAGGGGAAAGCTTCTGGTATTAGGGGACACCTTCAAACGGCCGGGTCCCTCTGAATAATCAAACCGAGCTTCTGGAGGCCTCACGTTCACACCTCCATCCACAGCTGTTCGTGTTTCTGCTGATTTCCAGGAGGCCTCAGTCCTCAGCAGGCCGAATGCAACAAGGCAAGCAAAACAATGGCCTTAGGGACCCGAGCTGCCTGGGGGCTCCCAGACAGGGGCCCATCTGGTTATAAACTGCATCTAATGACAAACGGTGTAGAGACGAGTTTTTGCAACGCCAAACATCCAAATAAAGTTCGATTAAGCCCCTACCATGTATCTACTGGTACTAAAATGGTGGTATCGGTATCGGCGAGTACCAACCAATAGGGCACTGATACCATTTTGAGAGCTAAAAGTTTCTTCAACTATTGTCACCCATTCCAGGTAGGCAATAAAAAGTTCTACTGGATTCACTTTGTTTTAGTCTTTTTCCTGCTTCACTAAGGAAGGCAGCAGCTGGACATGAAGCCATGATGGCAATTATTCTACATCCATGTAGTCTACAGTTCTTCATATAAACACACATCAATGTCAAACAGTATGAGCTGATACTGCACAGCCAGGTATCGGGGCCAAAACATGGCATCGGCGCACTAGTTAAAGCTATAGGCCCCAAACCCAAATGCCTGCTGGTTCCTTCCCAGGCCCACATTACTTCCTGTCTTACCTCAGAACAAAACATTTATTAGATAAATAATAAAACAAAAGATGAATAGAATCAACAATTATTAACCTGCAAATTAACTCTGTAAATAATACAAAACTTTTAAAATATAGTAATAAATTAACACAGTTCAAACGGATAAAGAAATAAAGAATAAATAGCTCCAACAAACAGTCTGAGCTCCAATTTGCACGTTTTCCGTGCATGAATTAAAATCCAACATAAACTGTAAATCATTTAGACCATCACGTTTTCTGGACACACAGTTTGTGCCATGCCATATTAAATAAAGTTATAATAATAACAATGAAAAGGGAATCATTATTTTATTTAGTTTAAGGCGCTTAAAGCATCTCATCCTGCTCTATCTGACCGCCTTTAGTCATGTACAAAAACAAAATTTAATAATTAGCTTTTGGTGTTTTTTGAAGCGTATGGAGATCTGACCTTAAATCGTTTTTTTTTTGTACATGACTAAAGGGATAGACGCCAGGTGAGGTAGTTAAAAGTCTGTTTTTCGTACCAAACTAAAGGGTCTGCATGCATACTGACTAAAGGTTTGCTGATCTGCCAGAACAGAGGGACGGATCCGGTAGCAACGATGGAGGCTTCATGCTGTGTTCACAGCAAACGCAATCTGGGCGGCAAAAATGCCCAAATTTAGACACTGTTCCCAAAGCTTTATCACTCTGGTGGTTTATCTGCTCTGTTCCGTCACTTAAAGCTAGAGGCTTTATTTTCTTTATAAGTTGGAAAATAGTTTTAACAGTTTTAAATTAGAAATTCCACCTCCAGACATCCTCTGTTCATCAGGATTATAATCCCACTATAATCTGCAGCTCCAGACCTCCAACAAACCGCCAGGAAGTGAATAGAAAGTTTTTAAGGTTTGTGGTAAAAACTGCAAAAACCAGAATAACAATCCAATATTTTTCATCAGCAGGTTTTAACATTTCTAGTTGATTTGGGTTTTTATAAACTGTTTTTTCGTAGTTCATAAAAATTTTTTAGTGCAGCAATAATGATCAAAGCTGCTCTCTGTTCCTTCTACATAACAATCCATTCTTCCTGCTTTATTTTAACCCTGGGAGTTTAACTCCTTAATATTTATTTATTTTTTATAGGCATAATGTCTGCAGAAGTGATGACAGCTTGCAGGTAGAGTCTGTCTCCCCCCAAAAAACTCCTGGATCAGCTGTTCTGATTGGTTGACGATCCGCGGACCTCTCCCTGCCGTCCATCATAGACTTTACATGAAAACCGGACGCTCTGTCACCCAGAATGCATTTGGTGTGAACACACCTTTAGTCCTCAGCACCATCTAGTGGTCGTTAGTGGAACTTCAAAGCTCAGCAGCGCCACCTGCTGCCCTGCCTGGGAAAACTGGTGTAAAGCCCCTGTACACCTTGGTGACGTCCCAGAATCTCTTCAAATGTTGGAATACACTGAAATTTCTGTGGATCTTTTCCTTTTGGAGTCCAGAACTAATCAACGACAGCCTAACTAATCTCAGCCTTCTTTAGTGTATTTCAGTGAGTCTCAGCGTGTTTCAGTTAGTCTCAGCGAGTTTCAGTGAGTCTCAGCGTGTCTCAGTGTGTTTCAGCGTGTCTCAGTGTGTGTCAGCGTGTTTCAGTGAGTCTTAGCGTGTTTCAGTGGGTCTCAGCGTGTTTCAGCGTGTTTCAGTGAGTCTCAGCATGTTTCAGTGAGTCTCAGCGTGTTTCAGTTAGTCTCAGCGAGTTTCAGTGAGTCTCAGCGTGTCTCAGTGTGTTTCAGCGTGTGTCAGCGTGTTTCAGTGAGTCTCAGCGTGTTTCAGTGAGTCTCAGCGTGTTTCAGTGAGTCTCAGCGTGTTTCAGTGAGTCTCAGCGTGTTTCAGTGAGTCTCAGCATGTTTCAGTGAGTCTCAGCGTGTTTCAGTTAGTCTCAGCGAGTTTCAGTGAGTCTCAGCGTGTCTCAGCGTGTTTCAGCGTGTGTCAGCGTGTTTCAGTGAGTCTCAGCGTGTTTCAGTGAGTCTCAGCGTGTTTCAGTGAGTCTCAGTGTGTTTCAGTGAGTCTCAGCATGTTTCAGTGAGTCTCAGCGTGTTTCAGTGAGTCTCAGCGTGTTTCAGTGAGTCTCAGCGTGTTTCAGTGAGTCTCAGCGTGTCTCAGCGTGTTTCAGTGAGTCTCAGCGTGTTTCAGTGAGTCTCAGCATGTTTCAGTGAGTCTCAGCATGTTTCAGTGAGTCTCAGCGTGTCTCAGCGTGTTTCAGTGAGTCTCAGCGTGTTTCAGTGAGTCTCAGCGTGTTTCAGTGAGTCTCAGTGTGTTTCAGTGAGTCTCAGCGTGTTTCAGTGAGTCTCAGCGTGTTTCAGTGAGTCTCAGTGTATTTCAGTGAGTCTCAGCGTGTTTCAGTGAGTCTCAGCGTGTTTCAGTGAGTCTCAGTGTGTTTCAGTGAGTCTCAGCGTGTTTCAGTGAGTCTCAGCGTGTCTCAGCTTGTTTCAGTGAGTCTCAGCGTGTTTCAGCGTGTTTCAGTGAGTCTCAGCGTGTTTCAGTGAGTCTCAGCGTGTTTCAGTGAGTCTCAGTGTGTTTCAGTGAGTCTCAGCATGTTTCAGTGAGTCTCAGCATGTTTCAGTGAGTCTCAGCGTGTCTCAGCGTGTTTCAGTGAGTCTCAGCGTGTTTCAGTGAGTCTCAGCATGTTTCAGTGAGTCTCAGCGTGTTTCAGTGAGTCTCAGCGTGTTTCAGTGAGTCTCAGCGTGTTTCAGTGAGTCTCAGTGTGTTTCAGTGAGTCTCAGCTTGTTTCAGTGAGTCTCAGCATGTTTCAGTGAGTCTCAGCGTGTCTCAGCGTGTTTCAGTGAGTCTCAGCGTGTTTCAGTGAGTCTCAGTGTGTTTCAGTGAGTCTCAGCGTGTTTCAGTGAGTCTCAGCATGTTTCAGTGAGTCTCAGCGTGTTTCAGCGTGTTTCAGTGAGTCTCAGCGTGTTTCAGTGAGTCTCAGCGTGTTTCAGTGAGTCTCAGTGTGTTTCATTGAGTCTCAGCATGTTTCAGTGAGTCTCAGCATGTTTCAGTGAGTCTCAGCGTGTCTCAGCGTGTTTCAGTGAGTCTCAGCGTGTTTCAGTGAGTCTCAGCGTGTTTCAGTGAGTCTCAGCGTGTTTCAGTGAGTCTCAGCATGTTTCAGTGAGTCTCAGCATGTTTCAGTGAGTCTCAGCGTGTTTCAGTGAGTCTCAGCATGTTTCAGTGAGTCTCAGCGTGTTTCAGTGAGTCTCAGCGTGTTTCAGTGAGTCTCAGCGTGTTTCAGTGAGTCTCAGCGTGTTTCAGTGAGTCTCAGCGTGTTTCAGTGAGTCTCAGCGTGTTTCAGTGAGTCTCAGCATGTTTCAGTGAGTCTCAGCGTGTTTCAGTGAGTCTCAGTGTGTTTCAGTGAGTCTCAGCTTGTTTCAGCATGTTTCTGCGAGCTCATGACTTATCCAATATCTGCCAGTGTTTCTGTCAGATTTTATGTACCTCAGCCATACGCTGGTCTAAATCAACAAGGTGTGACAGGGGCTTAAGGTGGATGGGGCTCTCTGGGACGTGGTTCTGGATCAGATTGGAAACTGGGTCCAGTTTGAAAGATGGTTCTAATCATGTGCAGCAGCAGGTTCTGGTCCCAGCCAGATGTTTCTGGGTGTGTTTCTAGCAGACAGGGGCGCAGGTGAGTTGACAGGATGTTAGTTTCAGGTACCTTTGCTTCTCATGCTCTGTTGTTTACCTCCCATCTGACTGCGCTCCATGGACCTGGTTCCGGCTGAGAACCTGCAGAGGAAACACAGTGTCATCAGAGGAGGTTCTGGAGGCTTTAAGACCTTTCTTGGTTCTCACCTCCTGCTCAGACGCTGGTGAGCGTCGTTTCCGTTTTCAATCATCTGGTCCAGAACCTTCAGGGGAGAGATGGAGCTCTGCTCCTCCTTCTTCTGCTCCCCTCCAGATCTCTCCAGCGCCTCCTAGAGGACAGACGACACTCAGCCCTCTGAGCGGAAAACCGAGCCTCACTCAGACCACGTCTCCTTACCTGCGTCTTCCTGACAATGAAGAGTTTAGCCGCTCGAGGCAGGGCGAGATCAAACAGCGACTCATAGGGAGGGGCGGGGCCTGGGGCCTCACATACATGGGCAGGGGGCTGAGGAGGGGTGAGGCAGAGGGGGGAGGGGAGGCCAGAATCACAGCTGGGGGTGAGAGTGAGGAGCTTCAAGGGGGCGGCTGGTGGTGGGACATCTGCAGACAGACAAAGGCGTCCAGCTTTGATGATGTCACTGAGCGTGAGCACCTCTGGGAGGCGCTGCATGGAGCGCCCAGGTTAGAGGTTTACTTATAAAACTGGCCAGGGGAGCGGAACATCTGCACACTGTAGCCATCTTACCTGAGTCAGCTCGCCCATAAATAATCACAACTTTCTCAGTTTTCAAAGATCTGATCTGTTATAAACGTTAACAATATAGTTATGAGAACTTACTAATGATTCTAACTAACGATGCTAGAGTGCAGCGAGTTTTCAAGGACTTTCATAAAGTAATAAACAGGCTAGCCACAATCAACATACATGCATGGCATTTATATAGAATCAGTATCTAGGCCTAATGGTTATATATGTGTGTCCATATATAATCCAAAGGAGTCAAAGCATTAAAGGTATAGAGGAGTGGATCATCTCAATCAGTGGTCCTCTTAACTGTCAATCATTCTGGTGATGTGTTAACGTAAGGCCGTCCTACGCGCTCGTCCTGTTAGCTATCTTTTTCTTTCAGGCGTAGATCTGTGGTGAGCTACGGTTTATGTCAGTCATTGAAGCTCACCTTTCTCACCGCCGTTCTTTGAAAATGGCTGAGGGTCGGAAGAGAAAAAAGGGTCTATGAAGTGGATGAGAAGAAAAGAAAGACCTCAGAAGAGGCAGATAAATCCCAGAATGCTTTGCGTGGAGAGCTCTCCTCGCAAAGCATTATGGGATTTGCTGTCACAGCGACTAATAACAAAGATGGCGCAGGCTCCGCGCGGTGGAGGAGGAGTTACGTGACCAACGGAGCAAAAAGTAGTGATCATCTGTCTGAACGGTCAGTGAGCTGAGTTCACTATAAAGTTCACTATATAGTCCCCGCTCTATAGTGATGGAGGGACTTGCGAACCTTCCGCCACAACAATCCCGCCCCCTTGATAAACGACCAACCACATTCACTTTATTCACTCGTGTAAAGTCGTGCACCACTGGAGAGAGTTCGGAAATGAAACAGTTGGAACAGACGCTTCCAAAAGAAATTAATTGTCTGGAAGAAACTAATTATTTAAATTTTTTTTTTTTTTTAAATACCAACAAGCCAGAATGAAAATTAGCTTAAATGAATGAAAGATGGCCGCCAGTGATGTCGTGCCACCATAAGAGAGGTAGCAATTCTATAAATATCTATCATCTATAGAATATCTATCTATCTCATGGTTAAAGGCCCAGCTGGCTTGCCACTCCCAATATGGCCGCTCTGACGCAGGGGTGAAGCCAACATGGCGTCTTCCCTTCCAGCCACTCACCTGCAACATCCAGGTTATCCTTGATAGCGTCACTCAGCTCTATCTCCTCCCTGGCTCCGGTTGGCTTCACCTTCACCTGCAGCGCGCTGACAGGCTGCTGGCTGTCAGGGGGCGTGGCTACAGCTACAGAAGCTGGTGAGGGATATTTCACACCTGAAAACATCTAGCGGAGAGAGTGCAGACCTCTGACACACAGGAGGAGGAGTTTACCTGAGATGGAGCAGAGGGTGGGGCCTGTAGCTGCGGGCTCTGGAGGAGGCGTGGCCAAACCACAGACGCAGGAGGGGCTCCAGATGAGCTCATCAGCCTGAACACAGACAGACACCTGTGGAGTCACCTGCTACCTGGTTGTAAAATAGAACCAGGTCTCTCTGCTGGAGTTCCAGAACCTGGAACATCAGGATCCCAGAGGGGTTCTAACCGGATCATCTCAACTACCCGGACCTTCTGCTTTTAGGTATCTGGACCTGGTCCGGGGGCGGGTCGGATTAAAAACACTGGATTGAAATCCCAGAAATTTTAAACCCTGGATTAAAAACTTCAGATTAACATTTTACTATTAAAAAAACTTTAGATTAAAAATCAGAATAAAACCAGAACCTTCAGAACCTCTGGGTTCTGGACCAGTGAGGGAGGTGGTACCTGCAGGAAGGAGGAGTTCAGCTCCAGCTGAGGATGACTGATGGAGTTTCCTGTCCAGAGACAAACACCTTCATGATTAAATCCCAGCTTCACACCTTCTACACCGTGATGCTGCTCCTCACCTGAGCTGCTGATTGGCTCCACCTCATGGTGGGCGTGGCTTGGATCCAGGTGAGAAGCAGGGGAGGACAGAGGGGTGGGGTTGGGGACGTCCTCTTCACAGGACGACTCCAGCGGGTCCAGAGACAGTCTGGAGCACTCAATGATGATGTCATGCACCTCATAACGCCTCCACCTGACAGGGACGGAGGTCAGAGGTCATTCTGAGCACCGAACCAGAACCCAATCCATACCAGTAAAGGTCCGTACTGGTTCCAACGCTTCAGACATGGAAACCTCCAAGCAGAACCTTATGGCTCCTCCCACAGACTGTGATCAGAACCAGGTCTGGACAGTAGAATGCCTCCAGAACATGTTGAACCGGTCTGGTTCTGAATAATTATGATAGTAGGAGTTCTACTGGGACCCACCTGGATGGGTCCAGTTCCTGGTCCTGGGTCCCTGTCACCAGCTCCGGGTGAATCCGGACATGCTCCAACATCGGCTGAAAGACAAGCCAGTCCAATCAGAACCAGAACAACTCTGTCTGGACTCTGGGTCAGAACCAGCCCAGCAGAGCAGACTTCCAGTTCTGGGACCAGTCAGCTGGTTCTGACCTTGACCAGCTCCTGGAAGGTGTCCATGTTCTCCTTCATGCTGTAGTGCAGCCGGAGGTAGGAGACAAAGTTACAGGGGAACATCCCATAGAGACGGTGGAACAGGGAGTAGACGCCTGCATGGAGGTGGACCAGGTACGCCGCAGACACCTGGCCTGCAGGAGGACACCACAGCCAGTCAGAGCACAGTACCCCACCTGGAGCATCTATTGCAGCAGCAGCGCCGCCTACTGGCCGCACTCACCAGGGTTCCTGTAGCTCCAGGAAACTAGGCGTCCAAAGACGTCGAAGAAGTCGTAGATGTGCTGCTTCCCAGCCTGAGGGATCATGGGTAGGAGGGTGATAAGGACCAGAACCCCGGTGACCAGAACCACCACTTCTCCGTCGGTCTACAACCCAAAACGTTCTTTTTAGAACCAGAACATGATTCACAGCCACCTGAAAAATACCTGACGCTGCTGGAACCATGGGGACAGAACCGGATCTAGCAGCTGGTTCTGATGGGTTTGGAAGAACCTGATGGGATATGACTAAAGCCTGCTGGTTTCTAAGTAGAACCTTCTGGTTTCTAAGTGGAACCTGCTGGTTTCTAAGTAGAACCTGCTGGTTTCTAAGTGGAACCTGCTGGTTTCTAAGTAGAACCTTCTGGTTTCTAAGTGGAACCTGCTGGTTTCTAAGTAGAACCTGCTGGTTTCTAAGTAGAACCTGCTGGTTTCTAAGTAGAACCTGCTGGTTTCTAAGTAGAACCTGCTGGTTTCTAAGTAGAACCTTCTGGTTTCTAAGTAGAACCTGCTGGTTTCTAAGTAGAACCTTCTGGTTTCTAAGTAGAACCTGCTGGGTTCTAAGTGGAACCTGCTGGTTTCTAAGTAGAACCTTCTGGTTTCTAAGTGGAACCTTCTGGTTTCTAAGTAGAACCTGCTGGTTTCTAAGTAGAACCTGCTGGTTTCTAAGTAGAACCTGCTGGTTTCTAAGTGGAACCTTCTGGTTTCTAAGTAGAACCTGCTGGTTTCTAAGTGGAACCTTCTGGTTTCTAAGTAGAACCTGCTGGTTTCTAAGTAGAACCTGCTGGTTTCTAAGTAGAACCTGCTGGTTTCTAAGTAGAACCTGCTGGTTTCTAAGTAGAACCTTCTGGTTTCTAAGTAGAACCTTCTGGTTTCTAAGTAGAACCTGCTGGTTTCTAAGTAGAACCTGCTGGTTTCTAAGTAGAACCTGCTGGTTTCTAAGTAGAACCTTCTGGTTTCTAAGTAGAACCTTCTGGTTTCTAAGTAGAACCTTCTGGTTTTTAAGTAGAACCTGCTGGTTTCTAAGTAGAACCTGCTGGTTTCTAAGTAGAACCTGCTGGTTTCTAAGTAGAACCTTCTGGTTTCTAAGTAGAACCTTCTGGTTTCTAAGTAGAACCTGCTGGTTTCTAAGTAGAACCTTCTGGTTTCTAAGTAGAACCTGCTGGTTTCTAAGTAAAACCTGCTAGTTTCTAAGTAGAACCTGCTAGTTTCTAAATAGAACCTGCTGGTTTCTAAGTGGAACCTTCTGGTTTCTAAGTAAAACCTGCTGGGTTCTAAGTAGAACCTGCTGGTTTCTAAGTGGAACCTTCTGGTTTCTAAATAGAACCTGCTGGTTTCTAAGTGGAACCTTCTGGTTTCTAAGTAAAACCTGCTGGGTTCTAAGTAGAACCTGCTGGTTTCTAAGTGGAACCTTCTGGTTTCTAAGTAGAACCTGCTAGTTTCTAAGTGGAACCTTCTGGTTTCTAAGTAAAACCTGCTGGGTTCTAAGTGGAACCTTCTGGTTTCTAAGTAGAACCTGCTGGTTTCTAAGTAGAACCTGCTGGTTTCTAAGTGGAACCTTCTGGTTTCTAAGTAGAACCTGCTAGTTTGTAAATAGAACCTGCTGGTTTCTAAGTGGAACCTTCTGGTTTCTAAGTAGAACCTGCTAGTTTGTAAATAGAACCTTCTGGTTTCTAAGTAAAACCTGCTGGGTTCTAAGTAGAACCTGTTGGTTTCTAAGTAGATTAGTTCTAAGTTTCTGGTTCTGGGTCAACATGTTGAAGTCATGTTTTTTAGGTTATATCAGTCTGTACTTGATGTTTCCTGTCTGGGATTCTCAGAGAAGAACCTGACGGTATCTGCAGGCTTCAGGCCGTGCTCAGCACAGAACCGTTAGATCTTTTGGGTCAGTACCTTCAGGCAGCGCAGCAGCGATGGCAGAACGGGCGATTGGCTGACGTGATGAACCCAAGGAGGCTGCTTCCTGATCAGGTGACCCAGCAGGGTGATGGCTGCCACTCTGTTCCCAGGTCGGTTTAGAGCCTCATTCAGCTTCTCCAGGAGAACCTGGTGGGCGGAACCAACTTCCTTATAAGGTCACAGCAGCATGAAGAGGCGGAGTCGCTACCTGATCCATACCATCAGCTCATGTGCAACCAGATAATCATCCAGGTCCCATTAATAAGGTCATGATAGTTCTAAAAGTACTTATTTCTACCCTTAAATCACTAAAGACCGCTAATACACATCTCTAAAACATTTTTTATGACTTTTCTGATACAACTTGATGCAAACAGCTTCTCTGATGTCATCATGGGTCATGCTCAGAGCAGTAAATCGAACTAAATTAAGTTTATCTGCATTTTAGTTGTTTCTTACCTTAGATTATGCACGATATAGCATAATGTTAACATGAAAGGAAAACATTAAACTCAAAAAGACTAGATTTATGTTTAAATCCAAAGCTGATAAAGTTAGCTCCTGGAAGTAGCGTAGCATCCCATTTCAGAGGACTAAAACTGAAAGGATTTAAATGCTTTTATTTTCTAAGAATACATTATTAACCTTTAAAACATATTATAGTTTAGAACACTTAATCATTAAGGGGGGGAAAACATAACTTAGGTCTTTTTTACAAAATAAAATGGAGGGCGCGGTGGATGTATATCTGGTTGATGATGAGCTGATGGACAGATTGGGAAGTGCCAGGCGGTGGCGCTCACCTTGTGATGAGGCTCTCTGATGGAGGAGAGCAGCAGCGCCGCCTGGGAGGAGGAGGAGTCCAAGTAATGCTCCACCAGAGAGGACAACATAGAGCCTCCTCTGTCTGAGGGCAGAACTGCAGGTCAGACCGAGGACAGAGGGACAGAGAGACATCAGACAGACAGATGGACCCACCCGTACTCAGCTGCTGGTTGATGGCGGCTCTGACCCGCTCCACCTCCTGCAGCTCTGAGCCGTCCAGTGACAGCAGCAGGTCCGGGAAGCTGAGCTGGTCTTTGGACATCCTGCTCCCTGAAACAGGCACAGAACATTTTCTACTGTTCATAGCTGTTCATTCACTGATACATTGATCCACTGATTCACTGATCTACTGATTCACTGATCCATTTTTTCACTGATTCACTGATCTACTGATTAGCTGATGCATCAATTTACTTATCTGCTGATCGAATGATTCCCTGATCCATTGATTCACTGATAAATCAATTCACCGATCTACTGATTCATTTATCTACTGATTAGCTGATCCATTGATTCACTGATGCATCAATTTATTTATCTGCTGATCGAATGATTCACTGATCCACGGATAAATTAAATCACAGATCTACTGATTCAATGATAAATGATTCACTGGTCAATCTATCTATTGATTAACTGACCTACTGATTCTCTGGAAAATTGATTAGGGCCACGGTGGCGTTGGATGTTGGAGTTTGCCCTGAAATTGAAGGATTGACGGTTCAAGCCCCGGCTCCAACCTTCAGTGTCGTTGTGTCCTTGGGCAAGACACTTCACCTGCATTGTCTACTGATGGTGGTCAGAGGGTGGCGGCAGTGTACGGCAGCCCCGCTTCTGTCAGTGAGCCCCAGGGCAGCTGTGGCTACAATGTAGCTTGCCACCATCAGTGTGTGAGTGAATGGGTGAATGACTGAATGTGGTGTAAAGCTCTTTGGTCAAGTCTGCTGACTTGAAAAAAGGCACTATATAAGTACAGGCCATTTACCATTTGATTCACTGACCTACTGATTCACTGATAAATTAATTCACCGATCTACTGGTTCACTGATCCACTGATTCACCGATATACTGATTCACCGATATACTGATTCACTGATATACTGATTCACTGATCCACTGATTCACCGATATACTGATTTACTGATATACTGATTCACTGATCCATTGTTTAACTGATCCATAGATTCACTGATCCAATTATTCACTAATCCATTGATTCACTGATCCACTGATTTACTGAATCACTGATCCATTGATTCCCTGAACACAGAGGGGCCAATCAGAGGGGCCAATCTTTATCTCTCAGGTTTCAGATTCTGTTTATTTGAACCAAATTTATTTTTTGTTTTAATCTTTTTTGCTTTCAGCCCATTTTGCTCGTTATCGGTTAAACTCAAGGAACCGTGTTGCTGACTGTCCACTGACGTCACCGTCGATCTTTAAACTCCGGGTGACGTCACTCAAGGAGTTTAAAAACACCTAAAGCTACCAGCTAAGCTAACAGGCTAAGAGCAGACTAACACCGAGGTTAGCGGAGCTACACCCCCCCAGCAGCTGACACCAGACCCCCGCTGAGCAGAGACCAGAACCGGTTCTGGTTTCGGACGGAACGAACCTCCAGAGGTCCAGTTCAGCAGCTTCGGTACCTTCAGACCTGTTGATTCCAGCAGAGAGCGGACATGTCCAGTGACAGCAAGCCCCGCCCACAGCAGCAGCCTGACACCTGCAGCTGCCAATCACAGCCGAGGGCCGTTCACTGACCCTGACACCGGAAGGAAAAAACTGCTTTACACTGTGAAACGTTCAGGAACAGCAGGAGCGGTGGGGAAAAGGAGTTTCTTTTAGTCAAACTGCGCTGCTGATGATCAGAACCAACAAACTCAGCATTTCTTTTAATTGAAGAAGAGAATAAACAATATTACTATAGAAAGAGTTAATCAACATGTATTTCTGGGCGTGATTTTAAGTAATGATGTAAGCTGGAAACCCCAGATAGAAAATGTTGAATCAAAGGTGGCAAGAAGCATAGCAATACTGCCTAAATCAGGGGTCTGCAACGTCTTCCAGGCTAAGGGCCCCAAACTGATGGCGAGATGGAGCGGGGACCCCCTAATTATATATATATATCATTGAAATAGTGTTCTATCAAACTGGTCCTATAGTCACTCTATTACAGATGCAGTAATGTAACTAAAGTAATCCCTCTCTGGGATTATTAAAGTATTTCTGATTCCTGGTTGATGGGACAGGTGTTGTGAATGAAACGGTGCCCAGATTGAAAGAGCTCCTGTGTGTCTCTGAATGTGAGCATTGATGATGAAAGACATCTTCTGCCTCCATTTATCCGTTTACTGCAGTCTGTTGAATTCTTGTTCATGTGGATTTAAAGACATTTCAGTTGGTGGAAAAAATTGCAGGAGGGAATATAAAAAAAGTCTAATCAACCAAAACTTTCACGACCCCCATGTAGTACCTCTGTGGCCCCCTAGGGGTCGACAAATCTTAAGTATTTTTTATTTTTTAACTTGAAGAAACTGAATATTTTGAAAATCAGGCAGAAATAAAAGCTTTTAATGAAAGCAGCAGCTGTGTTTCCATCAGCAGGGAACTTACTTATATTTATTGCATAGAAGTTAGGGGCAATAGGTATAAAAATAATATAGATTCACCTATCAAACTTCAAAAAAAGAAGATTTACGAATCGTTCATCATGTTGATTCAGAGATCACACTAATGCATTTTTCTTAAAATCTCACATCATGAAAATCCCAAATCTATCTGTTTATATCTATTACTAGATATAAACAGAGACTCTCTGTTTTTCTTTCTGTACAACTGCTTTCAAAATAAGACACTGTATTCATTTAACTGTTTTGATTTGTAATTCCTCCTTTTAGCAAAATACCTTTTACTGTACGTTACGTGTAATGAATACTGTTATTGCTGTTAGGTTCTTGAACTTCTACCTGCTTCGTTTGAGCGCTAATAAAATGTCTTAACATGTAAATCTTTCTTGTATTGTTGCTCAAAGAAATTGAAATAAATAAAAAAAGAGCTGTTTACGGAAATAAGACCTTTCTTCTTATCTCAAAGCTCTGCTGAGGTGGCAGATACTCTCTGTGCTTTATATCTGTGAGGAATAAAACTTCTCAGAGTTGATATTTTCTGCTGCTTTAAAACTTGAGCTACTTTTCTCCTATTCTCAGCCCGGACCTTGAATGCAACAAAGACAGCTGCTCCGTTCTATTAATAGCTGACATAGACCAGGGGGGGGGGGGCAATGTGTTGGAGACAGGAGGACCTGATGCTCCAGTCACCATGGCAACTGCTTCCGTTGATTCAGACGGATAAAAAAGGAATGAGTAAAAATAAAGAGCAGAAGTTTGGGAGTTGTTGGCGGACGTGGCGCTCCTGCGGCTTCTCGCCCTGACTGTGGCAGAAGGTCATGAGTGGGTTCAGGTCCTGAGTGGGCCGGTTCCTGCCGCAGCTGTGTGCGTTCTCACCCTGCCGTGATAACGACCCTGCAGCTCATCGACCCGTTTTCCCCTCCTGGAACTAAAGTCAAGGATTCAATCTAAAGATTAATGAGATTAGATTAAACTGAGCTTCACTCTAAATTTTTTAATATCTGCCAATCAAATGTTTCAGTAAAGTTTCTGTGATAAAATAAAGTTTTAATCCATGGGGCGCCGTTTGTAAGGTAAGCAGTCAGAAATTAGGAGCAATATTTATGGTTTAAGAGAAAAATAAGATGTTTATTTTTGAGATTCATTCATCGATAAAAATCTTACTTTGTTAAATAAATATTTAGCTCTAAATTACATATCTAACAAACTAAATATGTAGCTAGCCTGGTGCTAGCTACATATTTAGTTTGTTAGATAAATATTTAATTTGGAGCTAAAAACTTAAAATAAACGTTAACTTGCAAACTAAATGTTTAGCTCCAAATATTTGTTTAACAAAGTAAAATCTGACTTGCAAAAAAAAAAAAAGAACTCCTTATTTTTCTCTAAACCATAAATATTACTCCTAACTGCTTTCCTTACTAATGGCGCCGCGTATTAATCAGGCTTTCTGTTATCTTTCAAAGGTTTAAATATTTTAATCGGTTTCATTTCTTAATATTTTAATTCTTTATTTACGTTCTTTTCAGATGATTCTTATAAAAGTTAAATTGTTCTGAATCTTCAGTGTTTTTTATTTATTAACTTGAAGAAACTGAATATTTTGAACATCGGGCAGAAATAAAAGGTTTTAATGAAATCAGCAGCTGAAGATGAACCACAGCATGACTCCAGAGGCGTTTCCCGCCGTGCTTCAGCCTCTGCAACCAGAACCGGCTCTGCTTCTGGGCGTGGAGCGATGACATCATCAGTTGGAAAGGTCATTTTGTCCAAACAGCGGTGGGAGTGCTGGAGATAACGGACCTGATAAAGCAGCAGGTTCTGTAGGACTCACTGCTAGAACGGCTGCTGATGAAGATGATCCATCTGGTTCTGGTTGGGTTCTGTCTGAGCTCGGCTACAGCTGCAAAGGTCAGTTCTTCCCTCAACGTTCTCATTTCATTAAGCAGGAAACAGAGAGGAAGCATCAGAGGAACCAAGATGGAAGGAGAACCAGAACCTCTGAGGCTGGTCCGGATGGAAGGAGAACCAGAACCTCCTGACATCCAGAGCAGATGGCAGCGGCTGCATCAGAACCTGCAGATTCTGGCACCATGACCAGAACTGAACCGAACCCTGGAGACCCGGTTTGGTGGAAGAACCCAGAACCTGCTGCCCTCTGGGTCACAGAGGCAGACTTTGGCATCAGGAACCTGGGAGCCGGGTCGTGGTTCTTTGGGTCGATCCGGGTTTAATGTGAAGGAGCTTCAGAGGCCTGGTTCTGATGTTGTTTCCTCCTTTATTGGATGGAGCTCAGCCTGTAGAACCGGACCAGGTTCTGAGGTTCCTTATTGGCTCATCCAGCTGCTGCTCATCCTCATATCAAACCCACCTGGATGTAAACCTGTTGGTACCAGAACCAAAGTGATTGTGGTTCTGTGTGCAGCTGGGCGTGGTCCGGACCGAGGGCGGCCTGGTGGAGGGCCTCAGCGTTGGTACCGGGCTCTTCAGGACGGTGGAGGAGTTCAAAGGGATCCCCTTCGCTGACGTCCCTAGAAAATGGGAGAAACCAGAACCTCATCCCGGCTGGGACGGTAGGTCCAGAGTCAAACGGGTCCCCGGTTCCGGTTCTTGTTTACCGTCTGCGTGTCGCAGAGTTAATGTTGAAAAACTGATCATTTGATTTTAACTACAGTTTTAACTCTGACATGAAAATAAATCAGCTGAAGTAATAAGTTACTAAATAAATACGTACAGCTGGATGACATCATCACCCTGATGATGGGCGGGGCCAGAGTTGCTGCTTATTCAATATGAACAAATATCTCTAGAAATTAAAATTAATTTATTTAAAGAGAATTCTACAATATTTGATGTTTTACTACAAGAGCTAAAGGATTAGTACTTTAATAGTAGTTAAAAAGTCAATGTGTCGAAAAATAAAATTCAACTTTAGTGAAATAGTGAGTTTTATAAAAGTATTAGTTCTATTTTTATAGTTCTAGGAATAATTCAAATAAAGTTTTTATTTTATTTTTTCAGAACTTGATTAAAACTGGTTCTGTAGGGGTGTTGGCCCCCCTGGGCCCCCGTAGGTTCCTGTGGGCCCCTGTGGATCCCTGCCTATAACCGGCCATGCTGCTTTCCATCAGGAGTTCTAAGATTGAACATTTTCCATTTTTTAGATTCAGTTTTCCTCTTAAATCTGTTGTTTTATTTATTGCTTCTAAGCTTTTATTAAACTCTCCTTTAAGCAACATTTCGAAGCAAATTATGTGAGGTTTTCTTTCTTTCTGTGAATGTCCTGTTAAGTCCTTCAGTTTGTACCATAAAGATTATTTACGTTCGTCCTGCTTTGAGTTAATCTTCATCCAGATTAACAGATGACGTTTCCTCTGCTGTTCCCAGGGGTCCTGACTGCCACAGAGTACAGAGATCGCTGCCTGCAGGTGACGTTGCTGCAGACTAAAACCCACGGCAGCGAGGACTGTCTCTACCTGAACATCTTTGTTCCACATGGGAAGTCAGGTCTGAGATCCCAGCATGTCTTCATGTCTTCATCCTCTAAATGTCCTGACAATCACTGCAGATTAATATTCCCCTCATGCTGCTGAGTGAAGTGAACAGCAGCATCTAGTGGCCGCAGGAGGAACTGCAGCTGCCTGAATGAACCCTCAAACATCTGATGTTTGTGTCTCCAGTCTCCTCTGGCCTCCCAGTGATGGTCTACCTGTTTGGAGGAGCCTTCCTGTTGGGAGCCTCCAACGACGTGGAGGTTCTAGGAGAGTCTCTCTATGATGGGAAGGAGCTGGCCGACACGGGAGGGGTCATTGTTGTCACTGTGAACTACAGAGTCGGTACTCTGGGTTTCCTCAGCAGTGGAGATGAACGGCTGCCAGGTGAACACCAACCTCCTCCTGTTACAGACAGCCTGGCTCCTTCCTCATCTTTAGCATGATGACTGTAAACAATGTCTGAATTTATCACATGTTCATGTGTTTGAACTGATCTGAGCGGCTCAGCAGCTGTTAGTGGTATCCTGGGCATTTAGTGAAGTTAGAGATGCAGCTCCTGCTGACATCAGCTGGTTACTATGGTGACAGATGGAAAGTTTTCAGGTTCTAGTAAGAAACGGCTGCAGAGTCTCATCC